CTAAATATCTTAATAAATCTAAATATTTTCAATAGCAAGCACAGCTGAAATATACATATCCATGAACACAAGTCTGACTTTAGGCATAAACCTCAGTGAATAGAATGAACATACTATAAAGTAGCACCTACCTAGGGCTAAATAAGCTTACTGCAGTCATCAGATAGGTATTTTTAATGCCTTTTTTATTCTACTGAAAAATTTTTTTTATTAATTCACATTCATTCCCTGAGCATCATTACAACATACTAAATGTGGTTTCCCATCTAGAATAAACTGGATAGTGGCTTAATCATGAATGTTATCATCCATAATATTCCATTTCTACTTCTGTGTATGTATGTTTTTTACCCCATGTCTGACCCTCTGCCCTATTGCACTCTCTTATTACACTATCTCTCCTGTCTACAGTTATCTTCAATTCCTTTTCCCCCAAAATTTCATTTATCACACAATATCATAAGTAATCTAACTACTTACAATAGCAAGTTCAGCTGATGGTTTCAAGAAAAGCAGTTTTGAACTGGTAAGGATATTTCCTTGAAACTTAAGGCCTAGAAACAGGTTAGTATTCTGTTCAAATAGTAGGTACATGAATCCATTGACAGCTCAAGACAGGACAAAAATCCTTAAAATCGGACAACAAAGCTTAGAAGAAAAGCAGCAATATTTTAGTCAAATCAGAGAATGCTGTTTCATCAAAAATATGGAACACTTCACGAATTTGCGTGTCATCCTTGCGCAGGGGCCATTCTAATCTCTGTATTGTTCCAATTTTAGTATATGTGCTGCTGAAGTGAGCACTAACATTTTCATTTCTGTACTGCTTGACTTGTTTGTAACAATCTATAATACCTTTAAATAATACATTGAAATAAAAACCATACCCCACTAGATTCTTTCCTTTAAACTGTTAATTCATACTAAGAAATAAAAGGTATAATAGTGGTTGAGGCGAGAGGTCAGGTCTGAAGCACAGGAAGTCAAGTCTGGGAAAACTAAGGGCCTCTGAAAGCTATCAAGGAATCATCATGGCCAGAGGGCTTTGGGGAGCTGATATTTTGTTAAAACTTAAGGGTAAGAAAATAAATAAGATCAAATTAGGTAAAAATTATGATTTTATTTATTTTTTTGATGAGACTATTGCAATAATGTCATTAGTTTGATCTCTGGGTGTTTTAATACATAAGTATCATAGTAATTGCAATCCAAACTACAATTTAAAAATGAAATAAATGTCTCAGTGTCTAGAATAATGGCTTTTGTTCTTGTTCAACTTGTTTATATGTTATAAGGGAATGCTAGGCTACAATTTCTCAAGCTGTTTGTTTAAGGACCTTAGGAGAGATGCAGGTATCTACTAATGTTTGAAGTAGAGAAGAGCTAAATTGCCTAATACTTATGGCATAAAGTTTTGATTAAATTAATTTTTTAGATCCTTCAAGATCATTTAAGCCCACTCTTCCCACAAAGGGGGCTTTTGTCTGGGATGCAGGAAGTCAAAGGTATGTCCATCTGAATTCCCTCTTGATTTGTTATAATGAAGAGTTCCTTTATGCAGTTGTGGGTATTCAGAGACAACAGTCACTATCCTGTGTTAACCAACCTTAGTTTGCTAATACAGTATTTGGAATTTTAGCTAGGAAATAGTGGAAAACTTAATATTGGATTAAGAAACAAGACAGGGGCCAGCAGGTGGTGTGATGGTTAAATTTGTAGATCCCACATGGCTGACTGCATGGTTCAAGTCTTGAACCCAGTGGCTTGAAAATCACACCAGGTGTGTGTGTATTCATGCCTAAAATCCCAAGAAGAGTATGGAGGAGAAGGGACTAGCATAACCATTCCCCTTGTGGGGGTAAGGGGTGATTTCTCATTTTTCCCTTTCTCTGTCTCTTTGGCAAGCACATACACCATATGGCAAAAGCTTAAAGGGAAAAAAAGACAAGACAAATTTTACTCTAGGATAAACTAGAGTGATGGGAACAATTGTGATAAAGGAGAAAGGCTATGTGATTTCAGGCATTATGTGAGAGTAGAAAGGTGAGAACCATAAAGGATGCAACTTTTGAGAATTTTTTTGGTAGTGGGAACCAGAAAGCCTGAAAAGTTGCCTAGGGTGTGATTTGGGGTTGAACCTGGACTTGGAGATTATGGATAGAGAACCAGAAGAACCAGACAGGAAGATTCTCGCCTTTGTTGGTGATTAAATAAACTATTAGAAATGCCCCCAGGTGGGAGCCAGCAGTTAGCGTAATGGCTATGTCGCTGGACTCCCATGTAGTCGACCGTGGTTTGTGTCCTGGACCCGGTGGCTTAAAACTCACGCCGGGCGCGTGTGCGTGCGTGCCCAAGATCCCGAGAGGAGAATGGAGGAGAAGGGATTGCGGCGTGACCATCCCCCCTGGGGGGTGATTTCTCGCTTTCTGTCTCTATGTCTCTCTCTGTCTGTCTGGCGAGCGCACGCGCCCTACAGTGAAAATCTCTCAAAAAAAAAAAAAAAAAAAGAAATGCCCCCAGGGTGGATCAGGCATGAAGGAGGGAGGAATCAGAAGAAATACACATTCCTAGACAGACAGCGAAAACCCTAAGGTATGAGTGGGCTGGACATTGTATGTGTTGAGAACCTGTATAGAGGATGTTGCTGAGATTTCTCACTCCTCAGTATTCTTTGTTTTTAAGTTTATTTATTTCTTCCATGAGTGGGAGAGGCAGAGAGTGAGAGACAGACAGACAGACAGACAGAGACAGAGAAACATTACTCTCAACAGGGTCTTGGTGCTGCAATCCACCCCCAGCCTCTGCCAGCCCTGGGTCATGGGCATGCATGTGCCTGGTATGCTCAGGGAGGTCTCTGCATATGAACCTGGAATCCTCCCATGTCATTCTACATTATTGTGATTAAAGGCCAAGAAAGAAATAACAATATCACTTACTGAGTACTAACCACATGCTTTTTTAAGTTTTTTACATGGATTATTTCATTTAATCTTCACAATAACTATATAAGAGGTAGGAACTGAGGTATAAAGTAGTTGAGTAATATTTTGAGATGGTAACTGGTAGTACCTGGGTCCAAATCAGTCTAATTATAGAATCTATGCTCTTAGTTACTGAGTGTTCTTGGGACCACAGCTCCTTGAATCTGTCCTCCACTGCTACCTCAAAACAATCAGGATGGTGAGCAGTTGCGCAAGAAGGAAACTTTGGGTTATTTTTCTATGCAAAAATGGAAAATAGAAAAATATGTCATAGAAAAATACTTCATGACTTTCCTGATGATCTAATTAATGTGGCATGGTTAGGTTCTTCTATAGTTGGTGATGTTAGAGATATGATTTCAGCCAGTAGAGTGTCAGGGAAATTTGAGAAATATATCCAGGAAGTATTTATTGATTTGATTTGACCAATTCACATAGCACACTAAGACATTTGTATGTTATGCTCTGTTACTTTGGCTCAAATACTGCATTTTTGATAGCTATGTCTTACTATGAGCTTATAATGAGCCAAAGATCCACTTTTTTCTCCAAGTGTTATGTCAAGCTGGTTATATGTATATACATTATCTTATTAAATCCTTGTAACAACCCTTTATTGAACAAACGGTTTAACCAGTATACATACTTTTTTTTTTTTGGAGAGGTTTTTGCTATAGGGCATGTGTGCTGGCCACTTCACACCATTCCAGTTGGGGATTCTATACAAGTTATCATCAATAGATAGTAATTTATTGTGTCCCATAAATGTCTTGCCTTTGTTTTTCTCCTTAATGTCTTTCCTCAGACTCTCTTCCTTCTCCCATCCTCTTTGAGTCCTCATGCTCAATAATGTGAAAATGAATCCTTTTGTTGAATACACTCACTTTTCATATTGCAGAACAATAATCATTAACATTAATAATTATGTATTACCTCCCTCAACTCCTGCTTTGTTACTGCCTTTAGCTAGTTGCAGATGAATTGTAATGCCAGCTTTGTAACATCCTTTCTCTGTTTTCTTAAACTGTTATTTAAATTCTACTATGGTTTAACTTTTTATATATTTATTTTAGTTCCCCAGATAGAATAAAAGGAACTTGAGAAACAGGAATATAGTTTATGTGTCACTCTATTCTATTTCCCCTAATGTCTTAAATTGAGGAAGTATTTATTGATTTGATTTGACCAATTCACATAGCACACTAAGACATTTGTATGTTATGCTCTGTTAATCTGGCTCAAATACTGCATTTTTGATAGTTATGTCTTACTATGAGCTTATAATGAGCCAAAGATCCACTTTTTTCTCCAAGTGTCTTACTTTCTTCCTTTAATTTTTTTTTTGAGAAGTTTTTACTATAGGGTGTGTGCACTCGCCAGAAAGACAGAGAGAGACAGAGAGACAGAAAGCGAAAAATCACCCCCTGGGGGGATGGCCAATGCTGTAGTCCCTTCTCCTCCATTCTCCTCTCAGGATCTTGGGCACGCACACACACGTGCCCAGTGTGAGTTTAAGCCACTGGGTCTGGGACTTGAACCGTGGTCGACTACATGGGAGTCCAGCGACATAGCCTTTACACTAACTGCTGGTTCCTCTTCCTTTAATTTTTAAAAAACGATGGAATGTTTTTCAAGTTGCATGTCATTCCTGTGCAGGGGCCATGCTAATGATATTCTCTATCATTTCAGTGTTAGTATATATGCTGTCTAAGTGAGCATGCTTTTAAATCTTGTTTGTTTGTTTGTTTTTGTTTTTTGGTTTTTTTTGGAGAGGTTTTAGCTATAGGACGCATACGCTCACCAGAAAGACAGAGACAGAAAGCAAGAAATCACCCCCCAGGGGGGATGGCCACGCAGCAATCCCTTCTGCTCCATTTTCCTCTCGGGATCTTGGGCATGCCCAGTGTGAGTTTTTTAAGCTACCATTTTAAGTAACAAAATGTATGTCCGGAACTCTAACCGTGGTCAACTACATGGGAGTCTAGTGCGACATAGCCATTACGCCAACTGCTGATTCCTCTAGTATTTAAAAGAAGAACTTTTCTCTTTATCTTAACTTAAACTTTTGTGTAGTTACAATTTCATTTCTTGTTTATCTTGTTGGTTTTAGCTTTATTATCATACATATTTCATAGGTATATTTATCCAAGTAATTAATAAAATATCACTTGGTGTGTTAGTTTTCTATTGCAATATAATAAGTCACTAAAAACTTAGCTGCTCATAAAAATACCTGTTTATTAACTCATAGTTTTTGTAAGATAGGAGTTTGTCTTGTCAGCTGAGTCCTCTGCTCGGGGTCTCACAGACTATAGTCAAGATGTTGGTAGAATTTGGGGTATCATCTCAGGTTCAGGGCCTTCTTCTAAGTTCATGTGATTGTTGGTAGAATTTGGTTCTTTGTGGTTGTGAGATTGAGACCTTCAGATCCTAGGGGCTAGCTGCCCCTACCTAAACTATAGGTTGTTTATATAATAGCAACTTGCTTCTTCAAGGCCAGCAAAAGATAAAGTCTCTTTTATACTAGCAAGAAGGACTCATATATGTATATGATATACACAAACACACATATATGAGGGAGGGTCTTTAAAAAGTTCAGGAAGGGACCAGCAGATGGCATCATGGTTATATCGCTTGACTCCCATGTAGTTGACTGCGGTTCAAGTCCCAGCCCTGGTGACTTAAAACTCACACTGGGTGCATGTGTATGTGTGTCCAAGATCCCGAAAGGAGAATGGGAGAGAAGGGATTGTGACGTGACCATCTCCACAGGGGTGATTTCTCACCTTCTGTCTCTTCAGCAAGCTCATGGGCCCTATAGCAAAAATCTCTCTAAAAAAAAAATAAGATCATGAAGAATGCATATTATGAAAAATTTATGCATGGATTTCAAAATAATTTTAGTAACAAAATGTATTTAATTCCATTTTTCTATGAACTTTAAAAGTTTTTTTCTTCAGAGAAAGAGACAGAAAGGCATCCCCAACAGGATCTTCATGCCACAATCCATTCCCAGTCTCAACTCACCTAGACCATAGGCGTGTGTATGTGCTTGATGTGTCCTGGTATGTGAAAGGACAGGTATGGTATGTGAAAGGAATGCCTTGGTATGTGAAGTCAGCGCTCCTCCCACATGGGCCCAGTCATGCCGTCATTGTGCCACTGCCTGGTCCCACCAAGAACCTTTTGAAGTACCCTCATACACCTATTCAGAGGAGTGACATCCCATCACCCTTGCCATAATCTGTTTATTAGATCCTAGTCATTAGTCCCATTCACACTTAGGAAAAGGAGATTATACAAAGACATGAATATAAGGATGTAGGCATTACTGGGGGTTAATTTATGGTCTATATGCCATATTTGGCATAAATCTGAATCAGGCTAGTTGAAGGCTTTCTAACTTAGTATCAATCTATTCATTAATATTTACTGGGTAAGACTGCTTTAACAGCTGTGGCTCTAATGTTGCTGTCATCTGGCAGATGGTTTTTAATCTTGCTTATTAAGAAATAATGAGAGATGAAGTTCAGTAATTTGCCTAAAATTATCATGAGGGTCTTCCACTGGAGACAGTGCTGGAGTTAGAACAGAGCTGTGGAAATGATTATTTCACTTTGGGTATCTGTAAAATATCCAAGTAGAGATGCTTATCTCCCTTGGGCCTGGAGTTTAGGAGAGAGTCTGGGTTAGAATAGAAATTTTGGAATCCTTTATGTGTAGATGGTGTATGGTGTCTAGGGTATGGGAATACTTTGAGAGAAGAAGGGTAGAATTCTGGGGAAATCCAAATACTTTTGTTTTGGGGATTCCTCTTACCTCCTAATGTAACAAATCAAGTAAGATGGGACCAGCAGTTAGTGTAATGGCTATGTTGCTGGACTCCCATGTAGTCAACCGTGGTTCAAGTCCCAGACCCGGTGGCATAAATTCACGCTGGGAGCGTGTGCATGTGTGCCCGAGATCCCAAGAGGAGAAAGGAGGAGAAGGGATTGCGGCATGGCCAACCCCCCTGGGGGTGATTTCTTGCTTTCTGTCTCTTTGTCTCTCTCTCTCTTTCTGTCGAGTGCATGCGCCCTATAGCAAAAACCTCTCAAAAAAAAAAAATTTTCAAGTAAGAAGGGAAGCAGTTATACAGTCTCAGAGGAAAAATTGTATTATTTCTGTTTGCATCTACCTTCAGTCCCATGTCTTCCTGTCTATTCCAGGCACTACTAATTCAGTATCCCCTTTACTTATGACATCTTCTTCTCTTCCTTTCCACTGGATCCATTCACTATGCTGTCCATAAACACATCTGGTTCCCCTTTGCTGTGCTGTCTAGCTACCAGTACCTATCTGGCCATCCACTTTACCTTTCTGGGCTTCAGTTTTCTCAGAGATTGAGGGGTGTGATATAGGGTGAAGGTGAGGATTTTTAAGAAGTCTCTTTCAGGGGCTGGGCAGTGGCACAGTAGCAAAATGCAACATTTTCTAAGACATATGAGAAGGTTTTGAATTTGTATTCAGAGACCTCCCTGAGCCTACCAGGCACACACATGCCCAGTGATCCGGAGCTAGCTGAAGCTGGGTTGGATCATGGTGTGAAAACCTTGTTGGGACTGTTGGCTTCCCCTCTTCCCATGGAAGAAATAAATAAACTCAAAAGAGATAAGACTTTTTTTTTTGCGGGGTGTGGGTGTCTAAATTCTGTTCTGCCATCTTATTTCTCTCCCCTTTTCCATTTTTGATTCTATTAATTGGTTCCTTCTTGAAACCTCTCTTCCTTGGCCACAGTGTTTTACTCCCCTGCCTGTCTCTTTATAAAATGAAGAATTATCTGACTCAAGATGTCAGTAATGCTGGAGATTGAGGAACCACCATCCAGGGAAGTGTAGAGGAGGAGATCCATGGAGGTGGACATTGATGCCCCTTTGTATTTATGCTGATGCCCTATAATTCATTTTTTTTCCTCCTTATTTTGTCTGTATATGTGTGGGGGTGAGTTTTTTTCTTTTTCTGCCAGCCTCTGCTCCATTATTATGCTTCCTTCTACCCCTTAATTTTGTCCATATTTAGGATAAATCCTTTGCTTTCTTTTTCTCTCTCTCTTTTTTTTTTACTTTTTTGTTTTGGAGACATTTTTGCTATAGGGCGTGTACGCTCGCCAGAAAGACAGAGAAAGACAGAGAGACAGAAAGCGAGAAATCACCCCCCTGGGGCGATGGCCACACCACAATCCGTTCTCCATTCTCCTCTTGGGATCTTGGGCATGCATGCACACGCGCCCGGCGTGAGTTTAAGCCACCGGTTCCAGGACTTGAACTGCGATTGGCTACATGGGAGTCCAGTGACATAGCCATTACACTAACTGCTGGTCCCTGCTTTTTCTTTCTTTATACTTCTTTTCCCTGAGATTTCATCTACCCTCTTGACTTTTTTTTTTCCAGTTATAGAAGAAACAACAATTACCTTTCTAACTTTAAAAGTAATATAGGAGCATTTACAGTATAAAGTAAAATGCCCTTTCAACTTCTTCCTCAGAGATAACCACCATCACCAGGCTGGTGTCCTTTCTTCCAGGCGTTAAATCCCAAGTCTGTCATTGTAGCTCTGAACTGTAGTTTTAATCTATGACTGTAATCGGATACCCTTCTCAGATGTTCCACTAACAGCATATCAAGTAAGGTAACTGAATGACATTGGGCATGTGGTAATTTCTATGGTCCTTTTTATTCTGTGGTTCTTTTCATGTCTTAAATTATTTCTTTTTGTATCCCCATAGCATTAAAGAGTAGACATTCATTATATGTTTGGTTGATCCTATTGTCTCGTGGCTAATAAGCTCTTATTAGTATTCCTTCCCAGTTTGCCCTCTGATAAGCCATTAGATGAGAATGGCCAGCATTTGGCATGGTGGTTAAGGCACTGGACTCCCACATGTCTGACTGCAGTTCTAGTCCTGCCCCTGGTGGCTTGAAGATCATGCCAGGCATGTATGCCTGCATGCCCAAAATCCTGAGAGGAAAATGGAGAAGAAGGGATTTGGGTTTGGCCATCCCCTCTGGGGAGTGATTTCTCACTTTCTCTCTCTCCCTTTCTCTCTTTTTCTGGTGAGCAAAAAACCCCACAATCTTTTAAAAAAAAGCTTCAGATGACAAGGTGGGTGACTGGGTGTAGGGTCTAAATGTTGGGAACTAGTAGAAGTAAGCAATTCAGTGAGTAACAGAATATATGAGGACTTGGTGGAAGAGAATGGGATGGTAGATGTGTGGTATATTAAAAACTTTGGCCAGTAAATGAAAGTCAAGGTGCCAACACTAAAGAAATATATTTTGGATTCTAAAATTTAAATATCTTAGTCTAAAATATTAGCTACTAAAATACCACTTGTGTGAGAATATTGTTTTGGCTAATAAAGCGATGCATGGATAAACTAGAATATATAATAGGTCATTTTGCAAAAGTATATTTCACTAAATGTGTATTAAATGCAAATTAACTGGAAAGGTTATGCTTTTTGAAAATCCAGATCGCTAATGAGAGTTGATCATTGCATGTTGTATTAATGAAGATATGTCATGACCAGTGATACATTGAAATTGCAGGTCTCTGCATAAACTTAATTCCAAATGAGTTTAGGGTAGCCATGGTAGAGGAGCCATAGTACTGGTTCTCTCTTGAGGGCAGTTTTGCCTCTCTGGGGACACTTACCAATGTCTGGAGACATTTTTGGTTCT